CAGGTCCAACTGCTGCTATCATTCAATTCTTTCACTGAAAATATCAGCAGGGTTCTAGATACAAAGGAAGATGTCTAAGACAATGCAAAAGGAATAGCTGATTCAGCTATGACTTCTAGAAGTAGTCACTGTGTTCTTCTTCATGATCCTAAGATCCCACAAGTGCAGTCAATCTACTGGTTAACATTACACATTACTCAGCTCTTAAGATGACAGGAAACCAATTCAAAACCAGATTAACTTCAGAGATCCTGTCAGGTCCCTTCTGTGCTCAATCTAATGTTAACAAAAATAACTTAATTATTTTGTATATCTCCTTAAATTACTACTATTTCTCACTATTTGCCAAATCACAAGGAAACACGTACTTGGAACAGCCAACGACTATATTATATCATCTTCAGCACAATTTAAGACCAAGAATGAGACACACATTAGTAGCATTTTCACATGCACTAGGCATTCAGATTAATGAATTGGATTTAGGATTTTCTGTCTCCTCCAATCTGTCCACCACCTGTAAGCAGCCAAAAAGGCAGTCACTGAGTTCACATGACTGCTTAGGAGTTGGTACAGAAAAACTACCATCTTATTCCTTACTCCTGCTACCATAAAGGAAAAGTTATGATGGCTTCCTTTCTCACAATGTAAGCAGCAGAACTGTCTCTTCCTCTGCTCTCACGCGAAGGGTCAACCCACTGACAGAAAAAAAACAATCACACAGAGGGAACATGCCAGCTCCTGAACTGAGCTGGAAACCAACCAACCAGCCTCCACTAAGCCAAACAAATCCAGCATCAGCCATTCCAAACAGCACCCTCCCCTTGCAGAACCACAACAGGAAGTCTCTTCATCTACCATGAAACATCAGCCAAATGACATTCAAGGAAAGGCAGAGATGAAATCACATGACAGCTAAGTCTTTCCTACGCACCCCTCTCTTCCAGTCCTAAACCCTCCTTGTCTCCTGGCTGCCACTCAAATAATTTTTTCAAACTTGGGAAAAGCAGGGACAACAGGGATCACATAGGTGAAACAAGAAATACAGCAAAATAGCAGAATAGAGTACAGTAACTAGTTCTGCAAAGACTAAAAGCAATTTTAGAGAGTCTCTGAAACGTTGCAGCTGAGGTTGTTACAGGGTGCAGAGGCATGCTGGGGAGCACAGACCCAAAAAACATGCAGGAGAAAAGGGTAAAAAATTGGACAGGGGAGCTCTTCCTTTCTCACAGGCACAATGCAGGAGAACACACTATACATACTAAGTCTCACGTGAGGGAAAAGACAGACCGACGGGAAGGAGAGAAGATGACAGAGCAAGTCAAACCAGAAAGCACGTGGCCTTAGAAACAGGCAAACAGGCTTCATGGGTAAAAAGAAGAGCTGGGAGGGGGAGGGAAAAAAGGGGGGAAAAACGGCCGGGGTTGGGGAGGAGAAGGAAGCAGGCCCGAGGGAAGAAGCCCGGGAGCAGCGAGAAGGAAGTGGCGAGGCCGAAGGCCGGAGCGGGTGCGTTGCCCTCGCCTGCCCGCTCACCTTGATGCACTGCGACATTGCAGCCGTGCCCGTCGCAGTAGACGAGCGGGTTCTCGGCCCAGCCCCGCTCGTCGGAGCACACGCAGCAGCCGCCGATCATCTCCTTCATGCTACTGGAGAACTCACCCTCCAGTGACACCGGCAGCAGCAGCGGCTCGCTGGAGACCATCTAAGGGTTAAAAACACCGTCGTCAACACCGCGCA